TCTCATCTTTTTGGTCAGCTTTTCCCCTTCCAAGACACTTCCGATACTTTTCAGTTTCAGGGCGGTGTTTTTATCCTTTAAGGCAGTGGTTGTCTTCTCCAGGGTCTCGTTTTTCAGCTTCAGGTCGGTGCTTATTTTCATTAAGGCAGCGATTTCTGCCTCAAGCTGGTGTTTTCCATCTCCAGCGAGCTTTTTCCCTCCTCCAAAGCAGTGATTTCTGACCCCGGCTGGGTGATTTCCTGCTTGAGGATGGCTCTTATTTGTTCCAAGGCAGTGGTTTTCCTCTCCAAGATGGTTTTCTGCTTCTCAGTGGTGCTTCTGTGCTTCAGGGTGGTATTTTCCTTCTCCAGCAAGCTTTTTCCCTCCTCCAAAGCAGTGATTTTCTGCTCCCGGGCGGTGTTTTCCTGCTTGAGGATGGTGTTAATTTGCTCCAAGGCAGTGGTTTTCCTCTCCAAGACTGCACTTTTCTGCTGCAGAGCTGCGCTTCTCACCTTCAGAGCGGTGTTTTCCTCATTCAGGGCAGTCTTTTCCTGCTTGAGGGCGTTGTTTTCCTCATTCAGGGCAGTCTTTTCCTGCTTGAGGGAGTTGTTTTCCTGCTTGAGGGCATTTTCCTCATTCAGAGCAGTCTTTTCTTCTCCAAAACGGTCGTCTTCTTTGTCAAGGTTGTGTTTTGTGTTTCCAGGGCTGTGTTTTTGTCCTCCAAGTCAGTCTTTTCCTTCTCCAAGGCAGCCTTATCAATTTGCAAGGCTGCGTTTTTCTGACCCAGTGCATTATTTTTTTTCTCCAGAGTGGTCTTTTTCTTCTCCAGAGCAGTGTTCTTTTTCTCCAAGTCAGTGTTTTGTGTTTCCAGTGTAGTGTTTTTCCTTTAAGCGGTCTTTTGGTTCTCCAGCATAGTGCTTTTCTCCTTTAAGGCGGTGTTTTGGTTCTCCAAGATTCTGTTTTTCTGTCGCAGTGCAAAATTTTCTTTCTGCTGCGTGTAGGTCCTCTTCTCCAAGGCGTTCTTTTCAACCTCTAACGCGTTCTTTCTTCTCTCCAAGGCGGTCTTTTCTATCTCTAAGGCTGTGTTTCTCTCCTCCACAGCGGCCTTCTCCTTCTCCAAACGAGTATTTTTCTCCTCCAAGGCGATGTTTTCGTTTTCCAAGGTGATCTTTTTCTTCTCCAGAGCAGTGATATTTTTCTTCAAAGTTTTGTTTGCGTCCAACTGTTTCTTTAATTCGTCGTCTTTCTCCCGAACCAGAGCGTCTACTTCAAGCGCAGCTTTTTTTAATATTGAACTTGGATGTTCAGCTCCTCATTCGCTTTCAGCAGAGACATTCGCTCGATGGACATCACGCTTACTTTTTCTACAAAATCATTGAGCTGCTGCGTCTGTCTCGCTATGGTCTCTTGCATTTCCTTGCCTTTGAAATCAGAAGGCTTAATCATCTTATTGCTTTCACTCATTTTTAATTCGTTCTCTCTGGACAAATCGGAAAATTGATCAGAAAATTGACTATTTGCTAGTTAGTGCGATTAGTACAATACTTGTGCTTTCTCTCCAACTGCTGCAATAGCTATGACCGTAGATTCAGAAGTGATGCATTATATCTCCACATAGGGTGCATCACTCTTTATTACATCAAATTGCGTGATGTCACAATTTGATGTCACTATCTCAGAAGGACAACTAGAAAACTGCTGAAGTTTGAAGAAAAACAAACTTTACAGCTGAAGCTGATGGCCACTGGAGACAGTTCAGCTGGTAATACATCACCAAGGCTGAAATCCGCACTTGGGAGACAGCGGCTCTTGAGGACAATGGACTGGCACGGCAGGGTGGCAGGACCAATGGTCAAATGGTGCCTGAAAACAGAAAAAGGGGAAACCCAGCTGATGCCTTGGAAGCCACCATTTCTGACTGTCTTTCTGGCCAGTGTCGGCTCACTGGATAATTTGTTGCATCTGAGGCTGAGGGTTTCTGCAGAGATGAAGGTCTGTGCCGTTCTTTGCCTGACTAAACCTGCTGGTATTCAGGTATTGTTACCCAGCAACTCACTCATTCTTTGGTTACCTAGCAACAGCCCGTTGCGTCACTTGCGCAGCAGCAGTTTCTGGTTTCGACTCAACATTCAACGGTGAGCTGAATATCACAGTGTTAGCAGTGATTTTTCTGCGAGGACAAAGACAGCTGAAAGACAATCAAGATAAGTTTTTCTTTCGGAGTTGAATACTTGAACACAACAATAAGACGGCAAGATAATACAACATCTTCTTATCTTGTAAATAGTGTTCGCTGCATATCTACAGGGATGGCGGTGATTGTGATTAAAGCTGCTGCAGCTGTTAATCTTTCATCATTAAAAGTTACACAATAAACTGATAAGTTTGGTTTGTATCCTTGTCTGTTTGTGCAGCACCCTGTGGCCATTTTCACTGCAAAATCAACTTGATTAAAGCGACACCATGTGCGTTTTTTTCACAGATTTTAGAGACGCGGGTAGGATGTTTTGACCTCCGTCATGGCGGAGCGGGTCGAGTTTCAAAGACAGTGATGTCGCATGCAAAGAGTTGGTGGAGGAATAAAAAAAATACTTAATATGTAGCCAGTGACTGAACCTATCACTGGAAACAGGGCCTAAAAAAAAAGAGATTCTCTGAACTAACTTGGAAAATAATATAATTTGAAACAAGTGATTTTATTAGTTTTGCTCAAGCTATAACTCTAAAATCTGAATTGTTGCGCAAGCAAAACTTCTGAAACCGCCAGTCGCCTCAGTCCAACCCATGGATGGAGCTCGGGTTTATTTTGGACTTCTGTGTCCAGAGGAAACACGTGGATATGAAATTCTGAACTGCACGTCTTAATCCAGGGAGCAAGATAAAAATCGGGGTTGTACTTTGTAGTGTTCCACACATACACCTGATCATAAAACAAAGGCTATTGATGAGGGAAAAGAAGTAATTATTCATGTTCAATAATTAAATTCTGTTCATGCTGGGGGGCAATTTTGGTGCATTTAGGAAGTTCTTTGCCTAAATGAATTCCTCTGCTTAGTGCAACTACAGCTGAACCTCTAAAGCTGTGAGCTCTGGGTAGTTTTACTGCATCTGAATTATTATTACTATTGTTATTGATAAAAATGGGGAAAAAACAACAAAATAAAGTGATGAACAATTTTAGAAACTCACATTCTTTCCTGTTTGACTGTTTGATAAAACATCTTTCATGCTTTGGTCATAAATACCTGCATTTATATAGAATATGTTTCTTCTGTGGAAATTCAATTCTTACTCTTCTTTTTCAAAGATACCTCGGCTTCATGTTTTTCCCTGATGCAAGCTTCAGCATGTGTCCGTTTGTGTTGGGGCGTTTTAATCAGCAGAAGCGCCGCATCGGTGCTGTGTGACAGAAAACCTTCAGCCCTTGATCCATGAAAGCCAGGCCGCTCTGCAAGGCCACCTCTTTAGCCCCGGCTTTGTGTTCAGCCTGCCGAGGCTGCTAATGATGCTGCAGCAGCTGCAGCAGGTGGAGGTGAGAACACGTTCCTTTCTTCTCTTTTCAACACATCAGTTTCCACGTTTTTCAAGGAAGAACTGCTAAGTAGAATCTGCAGTTTGGCGTGGTCAGTTCCTGAAGCACCCTGAATGTAAATGTGATGATGGGTTGATGCATCCTGGGAAATGGAGTTTGAGGAGGTGTGGAGGATAGTCAACTAGCAGCAGAAATGTAACAGTAAGTACCTTGGGAAATATTTGTTCTCCTTAAACTTTTCCACATGTTGCCACGTTGCAACGGCAAACTACAATCTATGTGGATGATTCTGTGTTAATCATTTGCCAAGTAGCCAGCAAGCTGCTGCAGCTGTACTGTCATTATATTACACTGTGTAAGAGACAGGAGCAAGGATTGCCGTGATTTGCCAACATCTGATGTAAACTGATTGCATGTGTTGGAGGGTAGGGGGCAGGCGGGGGGTGATTTTACATCAGAAAGACTAATAAATAGATTCAGAAACACAAAAACGATTGATATTATATCCATTATTGTCAAATTGTTTTAGAGAGATTTTTCAGCTAGGCACAAGGCAATGTGAGCCAAGCGGCTGCTGAGGGCCCCCCCATGCCACTAGGGGGCCCCCAAGAGCACCAAACTACATGGTCGATCAACATACACATCTTTTAAACAACATTGAACATTGCAAACTAAATGCTATTGCACATGGAAAAACAATTTATGTATTTAAAAAAAAAACAACAACAACTAATGTTTGATCTATTTCTGTTGTTTGCTGCTACTATAAGACAAAAAATATGTTATTATATTTTGTGTTTATCAGCTAATATTACTCTCAAATAATTTTATAAAATGGCACACTTAAATACTACTCTGCATTTCAAAATCCAAATACATTTTTTTTTTACTTTGTTACTTGTGTAAGCATAAAATAAATAATTATAATAGCACTGGTACAATAGTGAGATACAGGAGCTCAAGAATGATAAATCATCTGGTGTTGACATATTGGTAAAAGGAATAAAAAGACGCTTAGTCAGGACCCCAAAATGACTTGGACCGGCCCTGGCTAGCTTTATAAACGCACAGTATAGTCCTAGCAATTTACCCCCGTTAATTACTGCTTTTATTTATTTATTTGTTTCCCAGTCAACCAAAAATGTTTTCCCTGTTTCACTTTAAGTTATTTCGTCGGGCATAGTTATCTATGATGACCTTGCAACATAAATGTTTTATTACTGATGCATTAAAGTAAAAAAAAACAAATAAATGTTGAGGTGACACTTCAAAAAAAAGAAAAGAAATCCCACCTCTTTCATTTTCGGTTGATGACCTCTGGCAGGCGCTCTGTCTGCTTTGCGCGTCGGGTTAGTTGGTGATTCCCTGCGCACCGCGCCTCGCCCCTCCAGCACCATGATGCTGAGCTCACATCGGGAGGGCGGCGCAGAGGAGAGAGACAGAGAGAGACAGAGAGAGAGAGAGAGAGAGAGAGAGAGAGGAAGCTACGTGTTGCTGCGCAGCAACAGATAGAAAGAAAGACCCAGAGAGGAACACAGAGAGGAATTCCCCACTGCTCAAACAGAAGCGGCTGTCAGGGCGTATCAGTCCTGTTTTTCTTTTCTTTTCTCTTTCTTTTTCTCTTTTGGCTCCCAGAATTCACAGAAATAAATCTACAGCCTACCTGTAGCTGGAAGCGCTGCAAGCCCCCCAACCTCACCCCATGAATGAAGGATGTGAGAGCAGAGCGCTGCAGCAGCAGCAGCAGCAGCAGCAGCAGCAGCAGCAGCAGCAGCAGCAAGCCTTCGGGTGCATTCAGACACTTCAAGGAGCAGACTGTGTTCTCTGTCTGGAGGCAACACTCTCTCCAGCAGCGGTGTCGCCCTATTTGGTAGAAGCTGGAACCGGTTTGGAGCTCGGAGGACAAAGGTCCAGAGGTCGCCCTCTGACTGCGATGAGCCGCCGCCACAAATGAAGAGTGCATCGGAGAAATCGGTGAACTGATCGACCGTTTGAAGTAAGTTCTCCGTGTTTCAACAAGCTCCAGAAACGAGCAGCTCTTTGTCTTTTGGGATAGAGGCTCGGAAAGCAGCGCGTTAGTTTCGGTGTCTCCGTGTGGAAAACAGTTCATTAAAGCGTCAAAGCTCCATCACTGCGTGCAGTTGAACTAACTCAAGCTTTCTCCTTGTCTGTGAATGTGTCTTCTTCAATGTGTTTGGCCTGACATTCTGTCTCTCTTTGTGTTTTCATTTCATCCTTTCATTTTGTGCGCCCCGCATCTGCGTGTGCGTGTGTGTGTGCGTGTTCCCCTCTTTAAAGGCATGACAGGTCAGGTCCTTAGGGATACGACCGCCGGGGCTCCCATGGACGACAACGCGGGCATCCGCATCAACGTGGGCGGCTTCAAGAAGCGTCTCCAGTCGGACACGCTCTCCCGCTTCCCCGAGACCAGGCTGGCGCGCCTCCTCCAGTGCCAGTCCAAGGAGTCCATTCTGGAGCTGTGCGACGACTACGACGACGCGGAGAAAGAGTTTTACTTCGACAGGAACCCCGCTCTCTTCCCCTACGTGCTCAATTTCTACAACACGGGGCGGCTGCACGTCATGGCCGAGCTGTGCATCTTCTCCTTCAGCCAGGAGATCGAGTACTGGGGCATCAACGAGTTCTTCATCGACTCCTGCTGCAGCAGCGCCTACCACTGCAGGAAGATGGACCAGGACCGGAACGACTGGGACGACAGGAGCGACGAGGGCAGCACCACGTCGTCGTTCGACGAGCTGCTGGAGTTCTACAACGACGCCACCAAGTTCGACAAGCAGCCGCTCGGGAGCGCGCGCAGGCGCGTCTGGTTGATGCTGGACAACCCCGGGTACTCCGTGGCCAGCCGCATCATCAGCATCCTGTCCATCCTGGTGGTGCTGGGCTCGATTGCCACGATGTGCATGAACAGCATGAGCGAGTTCAGCGTGAAGGACAGCAGTGGGGAGCCCACGGAGGACCCGCGCTTTGAGACGGTGGAGCACTTCGGCATCGGGTGGTTCACGCTGGAGCTGGTGGCCCGATTCGCGGTGGCCCCCGACCTGCTGCACTTCTTCGACCACCCGCTGAACGTCATAGACCTGGTCTCCATTCTGCCGTTCTACCTGACGCTCCTCATCAACCTGGTGGTGGAGAGCAGCCCGGCGCTCGCCAACCTGGGCCGGGTGGCGCAGGTCCTGCGGCTCATGCGCATTTTCCGCATCCTGAAGCTGGCCCGCCACTCCACCGGCCTGCGGTCCCTGGGGGCCACCCTCAGGAACAGCTACAAGGAGGTCGGCCTGCTGCTCCTCTACCTGGCCGTGGGCGTGTCGTTCTTCTCCGTCATGGCCTACACGGTGGAGAAAGAGGACAGCGAGGACCTCTCCACCATTCCCGCCTGCTGGTGGTGGGCCACCGTCAGCATGACCACCGTGGGCTACGGAGACGTGGTGCCCGTGTCCATACCGGGCAAACTGACCGCCTCGGCCTGCATCCTGGCCGGCATCCTGGTCGTTGTGCTTCCGATCACGCTCATCTTCAACAAGTTCTCCCTTTTCTACAAGAGACAAAAGCAGCTGGAGGTCGCAATGAGGAGCTGCGACTTCGACGAGGGCATCAAGGAGGCCCCCTCCGTCAACCTGAGGAACTACTACGCGCACAAGGTGAAGTCTCTCATGGCCAGCTTGTCGAACATGAGCCGGAGTTCTCCGAGCGAACAGAGTCTGAACGAGTCGTTACAGTGAAGCTCGGCTCGGAGCTGTCCGGGGTCCTGAACCCGGAGGAGGAGGAGGAGGAGTTTTGCTTTTTACAGTTTGCCTCTCTGTAGCTCAGTGCAATAACGTGTCAGTGTGTGTGTGGGTGTGTGTGTGTGGGTGTGTGTGTCAGTTCCAGTGAGACAATATAAAGATCATGTGCACTTTTTAAAGGAGCAACTCAGTTTTGTCTTAAGTGGGGTTCTGAGAAAATGTGAACCGTGATCATTTCTGTGGAAAGATGTCAGATCACAGTGAGTCTGTGGGGGAGAGGGAATCCTCAGAGCGACTGACGGCTGACAGGAAGTCACCTTTCACTAATTCAAAAACAACTGGACCCTCAAAAACGTCCACGTCTTTGAAAGTCAACACTGCGGCGTCGCTTTCTGTTGTTCTGCGTTCAGACTGTCTCCGGAGGCAGAGCTGGGAACGGCTGTGATGGGTTTCACTCTGAATGTGAGAAAATTAGATAGAAGCTGTAATATATTTCCTCCATGCTAAATTTTTAAATGCTGCATCATCACAACTCGGCGTTTTGCAGCATAGATGTGAAGTGTGTAAAAGTGGGATGTAGTAGTGAGGACTATTAAAGAAAGGCTTAAGTAAAAAAAAAAAAAAAAAAGATTGTATGACAAAAAACGTTAATTTTTACAGACCTATGCACTTGATCAGTGTGAAATTGTTCCAAAGAGAACAAACTGGTGATTTAGTTTGTTTATATGTGTGAAAGCAGCACACTCTGCACCCAGCCTCCCATATCTGGCTTCCTCATCCGTAACTCCAATCCTGACAACTCTGACGCATTCTCAAGATCTGCCTGTCTGAGGAAGACCTGCTTCCTCAGACATTGGCTCATCACAGCAAAATATGGGGGACATAGGCGCTTCAGGACAGGGGCCAAATGAGGCCCCTGTCTTCTGTTTCCCTGTAGAACAGAAGACGGGTTTCAGATGCAAGTGGCTTTCTGACTTTCACGTGATATATTAGGCTTATAATATATTATTATTATTATTTTGGTTTATTCTTTTATTCTGTGGCCTTTATGAAGTAATAATGTCTTCCCCGGGTCTAGAACCGGCACTTCTCCTCCAAACATTCCAGACTCTGCTTTCGACTTGGACACAGACCTGCTTCACTTCCTCAATGATGGACCTGTGGTGAACAAATGTAAGCATGTGAGCAAAGTCATGCATGTGTGATTTTAATGGCATTTCTAGCGTAATTGAAACATCCGCAATTGTGAAATTTGTCTGTGTTAGGCGGAGCACAGACAAGCACGCACATTTGTGAAGGAAGCTCAGCTGGTGAAGTTTTGGGTTTGTTCTCGTTCCCAGCTGGGAAAAAAAAAAAAAAATAAAAAATAAGATCAAGAAATTAAAAGTATGTATGAGGAGGGGCAGGCAGACAAATATTAATACACAGTTCCATCCCGTTGACGTAGAGATATTCAGTTTGTTTTAAATTGATAAATAAGTAAAAATCGGACTTCCTGCTTGACCTGCTGTTAACCTGTCACTCCTCTGACAACTTTTTTCTTTCCTGAAACCTCACTGTGATTTGCTATCGTTCTACTGGTAAAGAAACTGCAAATTATTCTATCTTCCTTCAACCGGCCTCCGTTGAAGTGATCCATAGTTTCCCCTGAAGGCCTCCTCATCAGCCGGATCACACCAAAACCGGTGCTCCTGTTTTTGTTTTGGACAGTCTCAGTGGTTGTGTGGGTGTTAGTGTCACAGTGTCACACTGTTACCCACCATTCAGCTGCACTTGTTCTGATTCAAAAAAAAAAAAAAAGAACCCCCTGGTGTTTCTCCGGTTGAAGGTAACTTGATGTGTAAATGTGGTGTTGCAACAGTGCTTCAGATGTTTGGTCTAAATGGAAAAACAAATTAAAAGAAGAAATCCTGTTACATTTTCACGTTTCGTTCATGTCCAGAGCAGGGAGCAGCTCACAACCTTTGACACATGTAAAAGTGTTGAACGATGACTGACTGACACAGCGTCTTCAACACACCGGCAGACGCTCAGAAGAGACATGTTGATTAAATTCCACTCGTGGGAATTTGTTAGGACTTATTTTTATTTATTTTTTTGTTGCCACATCATTACACTATAAAAGCTATTTAACAGTTTTATCTTTTTACTATCAATCTGCTGCCACTGTTCCAGTTATTCCACCTTACATCAGAATTAAAGATGTGATAGAGATTTATTGTTTTTTTAGCTGTGACATAAAGGCAGTGTGGGTTGCATCGCAGGATTTGGAGCTGGACTTGAACGCCGCAGGCGTCAGCAGGGGTTTGACTCAAAGCCACTACAGGGTTTTCTAGGTATTGAGTTATTGATGGAAAACTTTGTTGAAACTCGCAAACCATTTGAATAAAAGCCAGAAAACAGAACATATTGGCAATTTTTTCACAAAATTCGAAATAATCGATAATATTGAAGTCTGACCACTGGTGTTTTTCAGTCTTCTTCGCAAACTTTATTATTGAAAACTTTTCAAGAAATGCATGCAGTCCTCTGTGTGTACGACACAAACCTTGAAATAGGGGATAATTAACAAGAAATATGAGGACGGTTGATTTCTACCTTATTGTATGTATCTATAGGATATGATTTTGTCTGTTTATATAGTCAGCTCTGGATAGTAGCTGCAAGAAGAATAGTTGAATAGTTTAAGTTGTCTAAAGATTGTAATTTTTAGATCTGAATATCAGAGATGGAGCCAAAAAAATAATTTATTTACAGTTTTAAGCTGAGTGGGAAATATTGGCTTATTCCACTGAAAGAAAATGACGTTTTGGTTCGTTGCAGCCCTACCAGGAGTTTCTACAGCAGCTGCTCTCAATATTCAACAAAGCTCTGACTAACTGGCATTGATTTCAGTTTAAAGGATAAAGAGGCAATATCTACAAGTAGCTTGCAGCACTAAAAAGAGTCAATATCTTTTTGTCTTTTGGCATTTCATAATTTAACCTGGGTTGGCTTCACCGACTTCCCATTGGGATTTACTTCTACTTTACTGAGCGTGTGATTTTAAAACGCAATCTACTGATGCTGCAAGCAAAATCCTCTGATTAATGCTGCAGATTCTGGAACAAACATCCGTATTTATTGGCTGTTCTCTCATCTTCAATAAGTTCAGTGAAACCTGTTGCATCTTTTTTCTCTCATGTAAAATAATTTTTTGCAGTCTCCATTTGCAAACACAAATCTTCACGAAAGGAAACAGAAGACGTCAGGCTTGAAAGAGCACAACGTAATCTTGCAGTTAGATTGAAATAATCACGTATAAAGAAAGCACAACAGCCGTTTTCTGTCTTTCATTTCACTTCGAAGGTCATCCTGAGCTCTTCTTCAGTCCTAATGAGAAAATGACGGTGTTCCAAGAATGTTTTTCCACACATTTCCGGTGAGCTCGCCTCAATTGGGATTTTCCCTTAGAGTCCAATTAAATCCGCCTCCGTTTGTTTACTTCTAAACCTTTAAAGATTTTACTCCAGGGAGAAAATCCACCACGCTGCTGCAGAGCCGGACCGCAACGGAAACTCAACTTATTGACTGTGAACGAGTTCACAGGGACAAGTGGTGACATTTCACCAAATCAGAGCAGAGAAACAACAAGTGTACATTTTCAGTCTCACATATGAGAAAAATGTGGTGGAAATGGTAGACTTTTGTTCTCTGTCACCAGGATCCAAATATTCTTACAATTTCTAAGTGTGTCTGTGCAGGGGCGGTCCTAGGCTGTCTGCGCTTTGGGTGAACAACATTCAATGGCCCCCCCCCTGCCCCCCTGATCTCACTCCCGCTGCTTTTTCAAACAATCTCATCATTTAAATGTCCAATTGCACAGCACAGCTTCAATAAAAATTAATTTTACCATCTTATTGTTAGAACGTGGAGGTGTGATGAAGCACACTTTCACAGAGACTTTTACAGAGACTGACAGCGATGTTACAACGACCACATCTGTCACTGAAAGCGGCAAGATGTGGTCACTTTTAGTGCTAAATCTCTCTCAGGTGTTTGATGCGAGGGGGAAAGGCAGGTCTTCCTAAACTCACTTCATCACAGACTCCAGCTGAAGTCTCAACACGATGGGCAAAATGTTCATCTTGTTCACTGTCAGAAGAACGTTTTGACGAAGTGCCTGTTGCTGTAACAGAGACGTCGTACAGACGTTCAACGTGAGTTTATGTGGTTTATTTTTCATTAGGTGTGAACAAAGACACGCGAAAGCAGCACAAAAACAATCCTAAAAATGTGGGAAGAAAAGCATAATTATTAACAGAGGGTGGATGGGGAATAAACTAAGTTGTTGTTTTTCTGTCCAATTGCGTGTGCATGTGTGCATGTGTGTGTGCGTGCGTGCATGTGTGTGTGTGTGTGTGTGTGCGTATGTGTGTGTGTGTGTGAAAGCACTTTACACAAACACAGCAGACAGTGTGTCTAATGGGGATCTTATTAAAGCTGGCAGCACAAGCATCATCTCCAGTCTGCTCTGTATTGGTGATTTAAACTCTGTTACTAAGCAGGCGTTCCGTGTTGTTGCACATTACCATCTGCTGCCATCCCTTCGCTTTAAACAGAGTGGGAAGATTGGATCATTTCGGTGGCCTCGTCTATATTTCTCTCCCCGACACTTTTTTTCCCCCTTTGCTTTGATATCTTCCCACCGTGTTTCATTTGCCGTGGTCTCTGTCGTCACAGAGATCACGGCATTGCTAATTATCACACGTGAATCTCGTACCAACACCGAACGCAGGCAAAGCAGAGAAAACTAGACAGATTTCAGACCAGGAGCGAAACATTCAAATAAAACTCATGTTAGACGTTTAGTTATTTATTTGGTTTTTGTCCGGTTGAAGATTGTTATGATGATTCTAGGTTATTGTCCAGTTGTATTTTTTTTTTAATCGTCATACAATGCTTCAGTTTTTTCTTCTTATCATTATTAAAGATAATATGTATTTTTTTATCACTTGCCAAAATTACAATAGAAATAATAGAAATGATGTTAAAGGGGCAGCATCATGTAAAACTGACTTTGAGCTTTACATCATACTAATCTCTCAAGTTGCCTTGATTATTTAATGCATCCTCTAATTAAATAAATCCTCTAATCTCCATGGCAACCACTAAGCCCTTCAAAAGGCATGGATGGACCTAACACCGCCTTCGAGGACGAAGCTCCTCCCCTGAGTTGAAGTTTTAAAGCTTTCAAGCTTCCACCTCACAGAGCAGCCCTTGCCTGCACCCCCCCACTCAGCTCCTTCAGACTAGCCAATTCCAATTAGCCAACACCCGGTGGAACAGTGTATCTGCTGACCTCATTATAGGAGATATTTCTCAGTGAAACGCAGTAAAGAAAATGTTGTTAAAGGGTTCATAGAGGAGCTGTGTTGTGATAACGTACTGAAGGTGGAGTTTGAGAAAGAACAAGAGGGTTTAAAGAGACAGAGGACCAATTTCAAGGCATTGAAATAACAAGTCAAATTTCTTCTAAGTCATATTTGATATGTCCAGCATTTTATAACAACTAAAAGTAACATCGTTACTTGACACCGTGACAAAGCAGAACTATGTGACTGGAAAACACTAGACTGCCCCTTTAAATATTTGAATGCAGATTTCAAAACCCTTCACAGTCTTAAATCCACCAAACTATAACTTTTAAACTATTACACTTTTAAACTTTTAAACTCATATGAAACTCATTTGCTGCCACAGGTTTTGTTTTGTTCTTCAAAAATGATCCTCCACTAATCTTCACCAGCTATACCAGCTTTATTAATCAGATAATTAGACAAGGGCATTGTGAGTTTTCTTCCTGATAATCCAGAGGCTACTTATTCTGGATATATCAGATAATTCTATTCATTTCATATAATTCTGTTTGTCTACATTCATTTAAAAATGTGAACAGCATAAGTTAGATCTTTTAAATACCTCCTGGGTATTGTGAGGATTGGGTTACAATAACGTAACTAGAATACTAAAGACTTCAGCAGCTTAGCTGGGATTAGTACCTTCAATTTGACAATGAGAAATTCTAAAAACAATGCAGAGCTGGCTTTAGCTGTTAACTGGGAAGTCCAGAGTTTTTCCCTTGACAACAATTTGCATAAATCAGACATATGAGAAAAATGTATCAAGATAATTCAGCCGTAGTGGAGGAGAGAAAATAACACAACTGCATGCACAACCAGCTTAATTTACATGTATCATTTTCTATTTCACTGTGGAGGAAAATACTTTTACATGCATTTCAAACAAAATGCACACGTCCTTAAAAATTGCAGTTTCAAGATTTTCAGTTTTTTTTTTTAGCCAACTACTTTACAAATAAAATCAGGATAACTGTTTACATAAAAGCTTGGATTACAATTGAAACAAATATTATTGCAGTCAAACTGTACAGTAACCACCTGGTGTTTCAATGCTAGTATGTAAAACTGTTGGCCTTGTTCCAGAACCTCCCAGCAGGCATTGAAATATTGATGAACTGCAGTGATTGTGGACAAATTGTGACATTAATGCATCTCCATTTTAAAGCAGACATCCGTCCATTAAGTTATTCGTCCCTAGATGCAGATGCTTTTGGATCTCACTCAAAGCTGTTAAAAAATAAATAAATAAATAAATAAATAAAATTAATGGATAGAACAAAATGGCCTTGCTGGTTATAGCAGTTTCTTACACTGTATTTGGCAATCTCTCCCAGATTTTAATAAAAAATAAAAAGTAATTCTGTTTAGATTCCCTGAAAGGGTGGTAAATGTACTTTTAGTGAACATCCAAGAAGAAACCTGTTGCATTGTAGTTGCATGGATGTTAAATAATTAGTAAAGAGCAAATCAGTTCCACAAGCATGTTTTTTTTTTAACAGAACCGTTTTACTTTG